TCAGCAAGGCTATGCGTGAGAGGCGCGCGCACAGAATTTATTCACTTGTATTTTCCTAGTGTATACACACTGGAGTTTGATTGGCGCTGAATGTGAGGCCGGCTCGGTTGGAGTGGAACTGGACAAGTTGCTTTACAAGGAGCATCGGTCCATGGACTTTTTGACGGCAGCTGGCTTTGCGTGCTGAACTTACTGCGGAAATTGAACGCGCTCCGGACGCCAGCTCTGAATTGCACTGAGGCTGTGTATGAACTGTGCACGCCGCTCGAAGCAGGGAGCCCTGCACATCATTGGTCTCCTATGTAATTCTTTTTGCGCACCGTCATCTGGCGGCAACCTGTTTGGCTTTCTTCAGCTTAAGACTGTTACAGTAATCTGTTGCTGTGAGGTCTCTGGGCACTCATGAAAGATCGATATTGTTCCCAGAAGGGAACCGTGGATTTGGCTTTGTTGCTCGTGGCAACAAACTATGCAGCCGCTTTGTGTTCCTGTGTTGGTATACTCTGTGCATGGGGGGCACGCTTTCTCCTGGAGCAACCAGGGGGCTCTCGGGCTGAACTGCACCCCAGGATGCAATCCTTCTTTGCTCAGCAGTATGTGTACACGACCTCCATTTGGGGTGGGGCATATGCAAATGACCCTTCCGAGGCAACGCCAAAGCGTCATGTTCTCTACTCGAATGACCCTGTGCTTCTCAGCCGCTTAACCACATGCGCAGGGCACTTGACACAGGAGCAATTAAGAGCTCTTTCAGGAGAGCCCCTTGTGAAGAAGCAGAAGAAAGCAGATGGGACTCGAACTTGGCAAGGCTGCAAGGAGACCATGGGTAAAAGCCAGCTCCTTGGTTGCAATCGACAATAAGGCATAGTGTTTGCATGCCTGTAGGGCTATGGTGGTGTGAGTGTTGTTCTGCTCGCTGAGGGAATATCATACCCTTTTTGGCATCCACCTCGCGTACTTGAAGGGAGAAATGATGGGTGATACGTGGGAGGCAAGAAATGTAAGACACATGTATCTGTGTATGACTGTGCTTCCATGTTGTAAATTTCAGGCTCTTCCAGGACCCAAAGTGTTGGCGCCGGTTGCGGAGGGCTTGTCAGAGCTGAAGCTCTTTGAGGCTCTGCAGGTCACACGGAAAGGCATTGAGTGGGATACATGCGACCTCTGGTCTGATGTGGGGCGCTGAGACACTCCACAAATCTTCTGTGCATCAGCTGATGTCTGAGGCTGACATCCTTGGAGTTATCCAATACATCCGTCGATCGTCCAAATTTAGGCCTCCAGAACAGTGGCGTGCTGTCTTGAGCACAACTGTGCAAAAGTTGGCAAAATGCCAAGACATGTGATCAACCGAAGTCCTCTACCAGCCAGACCCGTGAAAAAAAGGCGCCGTGAATATGCGTGAAAACGACCTGACGTCACCAGCGATCGGCGTGAACCCCCATGGTTTTCCGTGAATGCCATGTTCAAGCGTCAGCACTGCTGGGTTGTAGCCGTTTGCGTGCGCACTGCGCACTGGGTTGCGTCGACAGCCTCAAGACCCATGGAGGAGGCCCATGATGCGCCCTTCTGTACAGAGCTGCTGATGGAGCTCATGAAAGAGAATGGTGGGCGGGCTCCATCGGTCAGCAAGCTCATGGAGGTTACGCCAGGCTTGTCGAAAGCCGAGGCCAAGCTCATTCTGGAAGAATGCATGCCAGATGCAAAGCGCCGTCGGAAGGAGGCGTTGGCAAACGAGAAGACAGAGGAGAAGCCAACGGCGGACGCCAAACTGGCGGCGGAAGCCAAATCGACCTTGTCAGAGAGTGAAGGTGCATTGCCTGAGACCGTGCCACTTGCTCACCTGATCCCATGACACGCAGCTTGTGTCTGGGACGTACGTGGATGAGGCTTTGGCTGCGATTCAGCTGGAAAACGAGGCTGCTGGCCTGCTGAATACCCTTGTGGATGGCAGCCTGCCCCGCGGCCAATCCCAAAGGCCATGTTTTGATTTATTTGCTCGCTACAAACCTTTCACAAAATCGCCTGAAGGTCCATTGGCACTTTGCTCCAGGGGCAAGACTTGCTCAGGGGCAAATCTTGTATCAGTCTGGGGAGTTCATCCGAAGAACAGCCAGACGCAGCCGCTAAGAAGCTGGAGGTGGAACTGCCAAGGTCTCAGATCTAGCAGCCTCAAGCTGTCATGTGCATGAGCATGGTCATGAGCATGGCCATGAGCATGGTCATGCGCATGTTCATGAGCATGTTCACGCGCATCCAGTTAGTTATACATGGATGGGTTGGGTGGGTGGGGTCACGTTTCAGCTTTTTGTATCACATTGGGCTCATGTCTGAGGCTGGGTGTGGGACTGGATGGCCAGGGGCGCGGGCATGCTGCGTCACAAACGCCCTCAGCAGCAACACCACCGTCACCTCCTGGAACTGTGCACTACGAACCGCCTGTGGAGCCCGAAAAGCCTGCAGAGCCGACCACTTGCACTTCTTCCACGCACCGCAAGGAGTGGGCTGTGCTCTCTCGTCTGCCAGGAGGTAAGAAAGAAAGTGAGTTCCCAGAGATTGCCAGGGTATTTGCTTCCAGCAATCACAGCGAGAAGCTTAGCATCTTGAAGATGTTCGTGGAGTCTGGGGGAGACCTTCAGAAGTGCGAGTCTTCATGGACCTTCTCACGGAAACAACGTGAGAAGACAAACAAGAATCGTCAACGCCTGACGATTGCTGAGATGATCAAGGCTGGTTGCTCAAAGAGCTTTGCGTGATTTATGCAGTCTTTTGTTTTTCTCCTGTAGCGCACAAGCCATAGATAGTGCGCGCCGGCTGTATAGGTTGGTTACGTGAAATATATTGGCCCTGCAATCTCTGCGCTGCCAAGGGCCAAGATCCTGTCGTGCATCCAAAAGGGGGGAACCCCTGATGAAGATGCGCCAACAGATCCAGCATCTACCCGATATTGGTGCACGCTCGTGACTTCTCAAGACCTGTCCGACGAGCATGTGACGCAAACCAAGGTCGAAGGCGTCGTAAACCCACTACAGGCAGTTGCGGCAATGCGGGTAGGTCAAGCTGGCTTACTTGGCAGGGCCGCGGCGCCTCCGCCCCCAGACCCCATGGCCATGATCAATGAGCAAATGTCAAGCGCCGCATCATCTGCTGGACAGCTGGCGTCTGGGATGAGCTTGCCAGCTTCAGCGCCCAAAGGACCGACTCATGTAGCGAAATAGCTGAGTTTTTGTGGATTCAAGGGTTTTCACGCCGATTCACGGGGTTTCTTGCCGAAATCATGGTTTTTCACGGGCCTTACCAGGACAAGCCAAGACTAAAGCTTCTGCCAAAGCAAAGGGTGCAAACCAAAAGCCATCGCCTCTCTCGAGCATGGCATTGGCGTCAAAGACTGTGCCAGAGAAGGTCGCCTTGATCCGCGCAGGGCTTGGGATTGATGTTTTCCATTTTTTGTGCGTGGTTGATTTTTGGTGTTTCAGGTGGTGAGATCAAGAAGGAGTTGAATCTCATCAATGGGCTCCAGCTGGAGCTGGGTGACAATGAGCGCTTCAAAGATGGTTGTTCAGCCATGTCTACATTTTCCGGGACTTTGCAAAGTCATTTCAAGAGGCTTGACTTGGCCCAGTGAGCTCAGTTAGGTCCTATTTGCTGCTGCAGGCTTGACACATGCACCGATGAGTCCACCTTGACGAGCTTGCTCAAGGATGTCCAGAGCGTTGCGCGGGACTTATGAGACAAGCGTATGCTGTAGAATAGAAACAGGTTCTCATTCTGTAAGGTTTCGGACTGCCGCATGAAGCGGGCTGAGCTTTGCGCTGTCTTGAAAGAGCTTCGCAAGTACATCTGCCTTGTTTCTCTTCTCTGCTTCCAAAAACTCCCCCTCCGTCTCTAGGAGTTTGTACTGCTTTTCATGGTGGTTCTGCACGCTATACCCCAAAATAGGTTTCCTTCAGCAGCTTTCTGCAGACTGTCGCCGCTGTCATGATTCCGCAGATGTGCACAAACATTTATTGAAACATCTTCAAGCGCTTGGACGCTTCACTTTTCCGTTGAGCCATTCCTTTCCTCCGGGATTCTGGTTAACTGAAAACCCAATGACTAAGCGTGTGCTTGTGTATGTGCGTCCACAAAATGGATTTGCAGTTGTATCACCAAACCCTGGTCATGGAAAATAAACATTGCCATCTGTTGGGCATGGATCAAGGCAGGCCCAACAAAGCTGCAGCTTGTTGGAGGTTCCTTTCCCTTGATCCTGCAATACCTTCATCCAGTCTTCCACACGCTGCGCATCTTTTCTGAAAGTCTCCGTGTCGGAGGGGCTCATTGGACCACATGCCCTGCAGCAAGTTGCTGAACTCTTTGGCAATTTGGCCCTGCGTGGGCTTGATCTCATCCAAGAAGCTGGGCCGCTCCCCTGGACGGTCGAGGGCATGAGGGCAGCAAGGGTTCGGAGCGAGGGGTTCATCCATGAGGTCAAACATGGGGGGGAGGGGCAATCTTGGCACTTGTGGCGGTACCTTTTGTTTGAAACCCGAGATGGTTCCCGTCCACTGCCACCCAGCCTGAACTGCCGGCGAAAAATGTCCTCAACTCAATGGAGTTGGAAAGGCATTGCCTGGGCTGACGCAAGAACGCCCCACGTGCCACGCGATGTATGTATATATATATACACTACATACAGTATATATCCCTAACGATAAGATTGATCTACAACTTGGACGATACATTGATTGTATAAATTAAAGTTATGGTTGATCGCGTATCGTGCAATACTACTAACACGTCTATACTGTTTTGAGTCGTGTAAATACGATAGTGTGTTTTCTTTGATTCGTGTATTATTACATATTGACGTTTTCTAGTGTTAGAATATATTATCAGCTCTGTCCCCCTGGGCCGCGCTAGCAATCCACTTTGGGCTCAGATGCACAGCGGAGTTCATGTAGCAGGTGTTCCCCATGTTCTGCAGTCCACAGGCACCGGGTTGTCGAGAACGATCCTGCGTGCGTCGAACTCTTCCAACTCTTCTCCTGCCTCGAACTGCTTCCCCATACGCTTTCCTGCGGGCGAAAGGCGGTGCGACGGAAATGGATCCACTCCACAGTTCCATCCGTTGGACATGGAAAACACCACCTTCTTCTCCGCAATAGCCCGCTCCGGCACACAAGTGGAGGCATCCCTCCTTGCGATTGAAAAACGAGGACAGGATTGCCAAAGCTTCCGGGTGCGAGCTTCCAACCGATTTCACTCGTACTAAGGCACTTCCGTCTGCTCCCAATTCTATTCCGGTGACCAGGAAGACGGCTTCCACTCCTTCTTCTCCCAACAGTTCGCCTGGAACCATTGTAGTTATAATGTCTCCCAACTTTGTCTCCAAGGTGGACCATCGGGCGGGCTCGTTCACATCGAACAGCCCATAGGCGCCTCCAGCGCCCACCAACTCCACCTCGCCCTCGCCTTCCGTCATTTCTTAGGCTGAGGGGGGACGCCGGCAATTGCCGACGACCTGGGGGCGTGTGGATCGAAGTCGAAGTGACTCTCGTCCAACTTTCTGTGAATCTTGATGTACGGGTCTCGCTCGGCCCTGTAGAGACGCTTGTGCTTGCGCCCTGCCCTGTGTTTAGGGTTCCTGTTCTTTCGCTTCTTACTGGACTTGTCGTCCTTCCGATCAGGCCTTGATGGCTGACTCGAGCGCCGTCGATGACTGTGGCGATGACGGCGGCGTGAGGTTCCCAGCCCGGTGCTGTCACCAGCTGGTTCTTCTTCTCCGTGATCGGCCTTCTCCTCAGTCTTGACCTTCTCTGCAACTCCTCGAGGGGGAACAGGGGGTTTAGCCTTCCCTGAGAGTCCTGGCGCCGAAGTCGCTGGCGGCAGCGACGGGTCGACAAGTATGGTCTTGTCTGAGGCAGCTTCTGACTCCTCTTTTTCTTCCTCCGACTCTGAAGAGTCCTTGTCTTTCTCCTCGTCCTTCTCAGGAGGCTGCTGCGATGCCCCCCTCTTCTCCTCAACCTTCTTGGGCGACCTCCTCAAAGGGGATCGCGCTCTAGGCGGCCCGGGGTTCCCCCCAGCCGGCGCTGGAACTGGCGGGGCGCGCACGGGAAAACGAGTCCCAGCGGCCTCCCCCAGAAGCGGCGTGCGGTGCAGCCCCAGTCACCAGGGTGATCCGCAGGGCCCGCACCTGGCGCACTGCCGAGACCACCAGGTCAGTTGCCACCGTCCGCAGGCCCGGGTGGCTCCACGAGAACGAAAGTTCGTTCCCAATCGCCTCCCAGGCACTGCACGCGAGGCACCAAGTGTCACCTGCAGTAGGTGACACTCGCCGGCACCGCGCGCACACGGCCATACAGCCGTGAAAGACCCCTTTTTTGAGCCCGTGGCCAAACGGTATTCGTGCAATACATCTCATGTTCCAAAGATATCATACATAATACAAGAAACAAATAGCAAAACATGTCGCAAAAACTGCAATTGCCCTGCTGTACACAGTAGGTGTACAGTGAGGCTGTGGCCAAAAAAACTACATGGACTGCACACCCTTTTTTTGGCAAAGCTCGAAGTTTCAATCCAATCATCTCCACACAAGGCCGGTCTTGAGTCTGTCTAGGCGAAGGTTTTTCTGGAGCCTTCAACTCACAGTTGTTGGAGGTCAACCTCCCAACCGATCTCACCTGTTGTGCTTTTAAACATATCATGTCTCCCCTGGGGCTCCTGGCCCACCTCCTGAGAAGGTGGTTGGGGTGGGTTTGGGCTTCTAAGGATATGGTTGGAGCCCTAGGGATCATCAATCAAAATGTCATTAAGGTTTCTGTGGGTCAAGAATACCCCCCTCCAATCGCTCCAATCCACCCCAGAGTTCACACCCCGATGTTCGAAGCGTGACGAGATGTGACGAGCCAACACCTGGGACCCAGGGAGGAACTGAGAATATAATAGTATAGAATTGTGGTTTAATACAAGAAAAAATAGCAAACTATGTCGCTAAAATGGATGACATCTACAAAATGGAGGAACTTCTGTTGGGTCGACCGGCTCGTGGATTCCCAGGCCCCCAGGCCCAGTCACCTGGGCAGCTCGTCGACCGACTCGGGCGCGCTCAGCCCTTCGGGCCCTTCGGTGGACTCTGCAGCGAAGCGAAGAAGATGCTCCAGTAGCTCTGGTGTCTTCCAACCTGCCATCATCCAGTTGAAACATCGCACGAAGTGGAAGTCCACGTTCTGCTGTGAGTTCAACCTCATGACGTTCTGCTTACAAAGGAGGCTAGCACTTAACGGATCGATTCTTTGGGCAGTGGCATCGGAATCCAAGAAGATCATGTCAACACCTATGGAGCAGAACGAGGATTTCAAGCAACACGAATCCCTTTACCCTTCCCCCCATGGATTCACACACACCATCAATACAGTTGACTGATAGCGAAGAAATGGCCCGAACTGATGATCTGATTCGAACAAAGGCAAAATAGCAAAAGAACTGTTGAGATCTTGTGAGGCACCACTGGTCTTCATTCACATCTCTGTAGTTGCTCACCACTCGCAGCTGCCAACGTTCTGTCGTCTCGCCCTGCTTCTCCATGAGCTGCATGGCCAAACCCTTGAAGAAGGATCCTTTCAAGGGCACCAAGCTGGGCACCTCCACCGCTCCTCCTAAACCTTCGACCAGGTCAATCAACTTCTCGAATCCTGGCGCCGCACAGTGCGGCACTTCGCGCGGTGCGTCCGCGGTGAGCCAGGCGAAGGAGGTGCACTTCCGTTCCTTCACAAAGTCCTCGAGGATCCAACTGAGGCTTTGCACCTTCAGCGCTGTGGGTGACACCACAACGACCCAAAAACTGCTCTGTCCCACATAGATTCGCATCTGTTCCTGGATCGCCTCCAGCTCCTCAGGCACCATGCCTCAAGGGAAGACAAGATCATCGGATCTTCGGAATCGGCCGCAGGCGTCCAAAAACGCCGCTCGTTTCTGGGGGGAGAAGGGTGGTGGAAAGAACTGATGTAACTTATGAGTTCCCACAGGTTCAGGGGTTTGCACCCAGATTGTGCCTTTATACATTTCATGGTGTCCCAAACAACTGAGACGTTCTGACTGTGCTAATTGAAGACTTCTTTCTACCCATGGACGTGTTTTTCCGTGCAGAAACTGGCACGACCGACCTGGGGAGACTGGAATCAGTTTCCATATCTTGTGGCACTGTCCATCTCTAAGTGAAGCACAAGCGAAAGACTGCAGATTTATGCACATCTCATGCATTTGGAGGCTTCCTCTCAAGAACCTTAACAGCCTTAGAATAGAGGTGACTATGACTCACCAAAGCAGGATAGGCCGAGAAACATAGCTTGTCACAGTGCTTCCGCAGCATCTTCTCCACTTGCTCAGCATCTTCTAAAGTCACCTCTGTCCCTCCTTGGTATCACACAAAAAATATGCCTCACGTAGCGTGGTGTGGCCTTTTTGGAGGGAAAGTGAAGCATGGTGGCCCTACTCTCCCAAATTGCTCAGTCTGAGACCCACCAAAGACCAGGAGCCAAGGCACCTGAGCTGGCAAAGAAGTATGTGTGCTTGTTCTGCTGCAAAGACTCCTCCAACTCATACTTCTTGACCGTAAAGTAGCCGCCCAGCATCCGCCTTGGTGACCAAAAGAAGAATCATGGCAAGGCATCCACGACAAACAGCTGCAAGGGCATCACGCTGGGCTTGGTCACACTACCCTTGAACAGACTAAACCCAAAAAGTATGGGAGCATCGGAGAGTCAAAAGGTCATCTCTGAAACAAGGAAGGCTGCAACATGTCCAAGAATATCTCGGAGGGAAAAGCCTCACGCTCCTCCTCACCAAAGAGCTCCTTGCGTGCAGAATGTCCCTCCCCTGGTCGAAGGATTGTAATTGTGGTGGGGGCATGGTGTCTAGAATCTGATGACGGATCAGTGATTTACGGGGACCTCCCTGCAACGAATGCCATTTTTCAGAGTGACATTGGGTACGTTGGGATTGCTCGAGAAGCGTGAAACAACTAGAATGGGGATCCTGCAGAACAACCCCGAAAATACTCGACCACGCAATTCTACTTCCAAAGCCCAAACCCCTTCCACCAATTTGCTTTTGAAGGTTACACTCTCTGGAACTAACATGGAAGTGAAGTTCACCCCCTGTTTGTAGAGGAAAATTATCTTCCAAGTGGCCATTTTTTCCACATCCATGTGAGGTCCAGGGAGAGTAAGGCTTTTGTGCGCAAATTTATAGTCTATGCTACCAAGAATGCTGGCTCTGCCTGCCCTCTAGCCCGTGCCACATCCAGTCTACGAGTCTACAGTCTGTCCCACGCAGGGTGCTTTGTGGTGCCACCTCTGGCAAGATACGAGCCTTTGCTCAAATTCGACAATGTAGATGCTTGATTAGTCCACCCCCCCCAATTGAATTGGAAAGCCATTTCATATGGGAGGTTTATTCATCAAGAGTCTACATTATATACATCATCCATTACACACCCTACTGGGCTTTTTGGAGTATCACCCAAAGACCGGGCCTCCTTGCTCTGCGCCATTGACAAAGCGCGGCTGATGGCGGCGACAACATCGTCTGGCAGATTCAGCACCACCCGTTGGTCTTGACTCAACTCATACTCCTCGTCGCTCATGTCCTCTTCATCGGGCTCCCAGTCTGATGGGCGACTGGGATATCCCCCGGCGCTTGAGGACGCAGCTTGATGCTCTGCCAAGACGTCCTTGACTTCCTCCAGGCTACGACAGCTGAGCAGCCAAACTTGATCTTTCAACCGTCGAAAGTCGCGAGCACAGTGTTTCAAGCTCTGAATGATGTCCCAAGCCAACAATCTGACATCTTCGTAAAAAGAATAGTCATCTAACTCTTCAGCGCACTCAGAGAACCCAAAAGTTTCGTCGTCAGCTAGCTGGTGCAAGTGAACTGCCACGAGCTTCAAGGGCTTCAGAGCTTCAAGCTTGTCCGGTGTATAAGCAAGCATCTGTGTTTGAACAACTGGTGGTCTGATCCCAATCAGGATACTCCGAGGCTCACCAACCATCTGCGGGGGACTCACTTCTCCAAAGGTCATCAACTCGGAGTCAGTGGTCAAGAACTCGTGGAGGGTTGCCAATAACGGTGCTGGGCAGCGCTCCAGGTTGTAGCAAAAGCACTTGGCAAAGATAGACGTGTCCCACATCAATTGCCCAAAGGCGCAGGAGTACAAGAAAGCGAATCTTTTCAGTCCCTGATTTGACACCATTTGCCAGTTGTTGTCATATTCAGGGACATCAAACACTATCTTGCAGTGGTGACCTTCCTTCGACCACCCTCTTTCAAGCTCTGCTTTCCTCCCACGGCAGGCTGCAACCACACACCAAACTCGAAGCTCCTGTCTCGCCAAAATACCAAACAAGGTATCTTCTAGCCACACGCAGCTGGTCTTGCAAACCACCTCGCCGTTGTCATCCAGGAGTTCCTCCTCATTCCTTGGTTCAGCTTCTTTCTGAAGGTGCAAATCCCACCCTCAAAGTCCAACCCCGTCGTGGCTGATCATGGGACCCCCCTCCTTCAGCTTGCCCCGAGCATCCAACCAATGGCCTCACTGCCGATAAGAGTCCCAACCAGCAAGGTCCCTTTGACACCTTGACCCCGAGAACCCATCTCACGACCAAAGGCATGGCCGGAGTACCAAACGAAGAGCTGTCCATCTTTGGGCACCTGCTGCAGCGAGCTGTCCGAGCAACGGTGAGTGAGAACATCACGAGGGGGGGGTTCACACCACGCCGCTGGGTTGCGATGGTTCATGAGAATCAAGAGTGATCTACCCAAAGAACTAATCAAAAACCTTATATGTTTGAACCCATCAAATACATGCAAACATCTGTATTTCTAATATATGTCTATCCATGGAACATCTATCCATGATCTATCGGATCATGGCAATCAAAAATCCGATGTTCCATGATGTTCCTATGGTACTCAAAGATCTCAGGCAATGGAATAGCAGCTCATGGAGTGTCAGCAGGTCAGCGGGGTGTCAGCTTCAAG